AAAAAAAAAAATCCTGAAAGAAATGTAGTAACACACGATTTCAAACATGATCATCAAGTTCACATGAATCCATAAGTTAACTTTGGTGCCAAGTTTTCTTATTCATAATGAACACTATAAATAGGACTCAATCCAACATTGCTCCCTCAAACACAAACTCAATTAGTTGTTATTCTTTAACAAATTCATAACATCATGAAGACATCAATAATCCTTTCAACTTTCATATTCATCCTTCTTGCCATCATCTCTTCGTGCTCGTTATCAGCTGCAGCTGATAACGATGATCACGAAGATTTTCTCGAGTGTCTCTCCAAACGATACCACAACTCAATCTCCAACGTGACTTATACCCGAAACAACTCATCATACACATCTATTCTTCGATTTTCCATCCACAACCTTAGATTCACTTCCCAATCGACCCCGAGACCCCAAGTAATTATAACTCCCGAGCATGAATCCCAAGTCCCTCCTGTCGTCCACTGCGCCAGAGAAAACGACATGGAGCTCAGAATCCGAAGCGGGGGCCACGATTATGAAGGTTTATCCTACGTATCCCAAGCCTCGTTCGTAATCCTCGACTTAATCAACTTTAGCGAGATAACTGTTGATCCAGAGGCAAAGACTGCATGGGTCGGGTCGGGAGCGACTATTGGATCCTTATACTACAGAATTGCCGAACGAAGCCCGATTCTCGGGTTTCCCGCCGGCACTTGCCCGACCATCGGCGTCGGCGGGCATTTCAGCGGAGGCGGATACGGAACGTTGCTCCGTAAATACGGCCTCGCCGCCGACAACGTGATTGACGCGAGAATAGTGGACGCCAATGGCAAGATTCTCGACCGACGGTCGATGGGTGAGGATCTTTTTTGGGCCATCCGTGGCGGAGGAGGCTCAAGTTTCGGCGTGATACTTGCGTGGCAAGTAAAACTCGTCGAAGTTCCCGAACGAGTCACCATCTTCACGATCACCCGTACTCTGGAGCAGAACGCGACTCTGCTCGTCCACCGATGGCAAAGCATTGCCCATACGTTCGACCCGGACTTACTCATAGGGATATTTATCACGAGGGCCAACTCTACTCAAAACGGCCAAAACTTCACTATTCGCGTTGCATTCAGTTCAATTTTCCTTGGCGAAATCGACAGGTTGATTCCGATTATGCAACGAGATTTCCCCGAGCTTGGGCTGACGAGAGAAGACTGCACCGAAATTAGCTGGATCGAGTCTATCATGTACATCGCGGGCTTTCCAATAGAATCCCGCGACTTTTTGCTAAACAGGACACAACCCCGCGTCAGGTACTTCAAGGCAAAATCGGATTACGTGCGGAGGCCCATTCCTCAACGTGGGCTCGAAGGCCTGTGGAGAATATTCTACGAGCCGGAAGGCGAGGATGCACAACTAATCCTCATCCCGTACGGCGGCATAATGGAAAATATTTCGGAGTCGGCAATTCCATTTCCTCACCGAGCAGGGAATCTTTACAAAATCCAGTATTTGGCATGGTGGCAAGAGAACAATGCTCGGAATTCGCATAAGTACTTAAGTTGGATTAGGCGGCTCTATAGCTACATGGCTCCTTACGTTTCGAGTTCGCCAAGAGCTGCGTATGTTAACTATAGAGATCTCGATATTGGAGTTAACAACAATGAAGGGAGGATCGATTACGCGCGGGCAAATATTTGGGGGAGGAAATATTTCGGGAACAATTTCGACCGGCTTGTTCGGGTGAAAACCGCGGTGGATCCTGACAATTTCTTTAGAAATGAACAGAGTATTCCATCTCTACTTGAAGAGAGAGATGACTGAGCTATGATGAGTTCAATTCAATTCAGTTTAGTTTACATGCTTAAGTATTTTCTACGTTATCTGAATTTGATTCCATTTGGTTGTATTTAGATGTATGAGTTAGTACATTGTAATAATGTTTGTACACATATTGTGCTATAATAAAGATTGAACGTTTTGTGAAATAGTATATAAAGATAAAAAAAACTTCTTCACTATTGATCGAAGTCAAACTTAAAAATCCACATTCTTCATCACTTTTGATGGTCCATGAGGCTGAAAAACTTTGATTTGAGCTTGTAATGCAAAAATAGGGTGTTTTCGGGTCTCAATCTGGGGCCCATATTCAATTTGATCCGGTACTAAAAATTTATAATTTTTTAATTGTGAAATATTAATGGGTTTTTGTTGTAGCAAATTATTTCCTTTTTACCGATTTTTACGGAGTACCGAATCGAAGGATTCATTTCCCGGGTCGATTTCTCGAGAAAAGCGATTCAAAATTTAGCTTTGATATTGATAGCATATAAAAAGAAAACAAATCTTAAACACTCTAATCAGGATAGGGATATAATGATTACCAACTAAGAAATAATTTAAAATCACTAATCTACCTAAAAATATAAACGAAACAAAGATGGAGAAGCTAGGGAGTCGAGAATAATCAATTCAAGTTCCATTTGCAAAACAGGGCAATTGATTATTCAGTTCGAAATTGATACTTTCGCTTAAACATCTAGCGGTTCGCTCCTCATAACTCTTCGTAACAAGGGATTGAACATAGATGAACAAACTCGAGCATATGACACAGGCCAATTATCCCAATCCTAATAACTCTTCGTAACAAGGGACGGTTCATCGACCGACACGTATTTCAATCCAAAACCTATAGACTATTCAATTACGAAATCATCTACCTCATGCGAGTCTAGGTCTATGACTTCTCCCCTTTCGGTTCTAAAAGTCGCTAATTCAATTAGAAGGTGTTTTATCAACTAATCACATAAAATCAACAAAACCCTAACTCGACTTTGATTTTATAAAAATTATGAAGTTTGAGGGGTTCATTTAGCTCAATTTGTTGTTTAAGTAAGAATGCTTAAACTTAAGAAGTGTTTATCCCTCCATAAGCATCCTTTAGTATGTATGTTGGCCGGTTCGAGACAGATAGAAAAATACAGAAAAAGTTAGTTTTCGAGCCGAAGTAAAAAATTATCCGAAAACCCTAGAACTGTCCAGTCAAGTCGAGAAGCCAGTTCCAGTATTATTTGTTTATTTACTTGTGTTTGTTTTATCTGTGTAAATTATTTGTCTATATGTTTTATTTTGTTTTTGTCTGTCTTGCTTGCCTATCTGCCACCATAAGTGTTAAAGTTTCAGAATCAGATGTATATGTCGTGCAAATTACTTAAATTTATTTGCTTGTATATGATTGGTAGCTTGAGGAGAGTCGAGCCTCCGACAGCTACCTCAGTTATTCCAGCAATTGCACAATCTTTCCAGCATATCAGGTGGGGGCCCTGCACTGGGTATTAGATCGCTTATAATCATTTACCATGTATGAGCTATGTATGTAGATACTTATTCGAATGGTTGAGTTATCCTGTTCGTGGTCTAGTTTATGATGACTCGGTCTTGTACGGATGGTTTTTCCCATCCTGAGACTCACCCGGTTTTGAATGGTAGTTATTTCCATCCTGGGTTTCTGAGGGAGTCGACCCCCAGAATGTGATCACATGATAATCCGGCCAGTTTTCGGATGTTGCACCAGTACAATGCAGTTTTATCTATGTATATGATGAGTTCATGATATATTATTATATGTGTTGTATATTCAGTGTTGGTTTCTGCGGAGCGCTGTTGAGTTGCTATGTGTTCACGCCCCCACTATTATCTTTTTAGGTGATGGAGTGCAGCCCGAAGCGTGAGCCGAGTGTTGGTGTGGTGGTGTCCGACGACAGTTGGACATTTATTATGGTTATGTTTATGTTGACATGTAATAAGATAATTTCAGATTGTATTGTACTTTATTTACGCTTCCGTACTGCCGACTGAGAAACCAATATGCATGTTTAATTTCCCTTATCCATATTCCCCAGTTGGATTTTATATGTTGATTTGAGTACATGCATAAGTAAAAGAAAGAATAATAAGTCACGTCAGTAAAATAAGTAGCATCCCGCAAG